AGCAGAACCAAAACCAAGAAATGTAGTAGCTTTTAAGAGACTGGTTAAGGACCCCTCCCCAACGTTGCTATTCTATACTGACAACACTAAGAATTTCCTGGTATGTATCTCACTTAAATAACTAATTTACTTGTATATATATGAGACAGATCTCTAACTTCCTTCCTTCAGCTTAGACCTCTTGCAGCACCAGTAATGATTCTCTGCAGTATTCCCCTTTCTGACAAAAACAAATAAAAAAAGCAGAAGTCCAAAGGGCAGCTACATTAACAAATAACTCATGTGCCTCTTTCATATAGAATTGCAGAGCCTGAGACCAACCAGCGAATTTAACCAGGAGAGGAAGTGTCCCACAGAAGTACCACTTTTCACATTATGTCAGATTTGTCAGCTGTCAAAAGGTAGGAAAAAAAAAATCAGTTGTTTGCTTCTATTTCTCTAACTTGACTTCTCAGCGTGACAATGAAGCATCCAAACTGGATTATTCCTCCTAACTAGAATTCCACCTCATAACCTACCCATTAGGACAAAGCTCAGCCAGGTCTTGCTCCTTCTGTCTATATAACAGGCTTCACAAAAGGAGGAAGGTTGTTATCAAGATAGTAACAACAGCGTAGTATCAGACGAATACCACACTGTGGTTCCAAACTAAGAAGGAAAAACGAGTGAGACTCGACAAGAGCAAAAAGAATGGGTTATTAAATTAAAAATGAAAAAAAATCCTAAGAACCTTTTTCTTTGAGTTCTCTTTATCTGCTCTTCCAGGTGTCCTCAACTATTGCATATTACTGAACTCCTACATGCACAGTTTTTATCTTCTACAGTCTCCGGGGCAGGAATTTGCTCTGCCATAAATCTAAGAACCACCAAATATCACTTTGTGATGCTACATAAAAATATGGATTTAATATTAAAGCACTTTTGAGAGAAATTATAATCCAGCATACTGTTTTGTGCAAAAATAAAATAACTTTATATGTCATATTCTATTATCATAGCTTCAATTACAGTATCCCAGAAGAAACACTGCTGGAGAAATAAAATCAGTTTATCTTTTAGAAGGAATAAGGTTACATTTTTAGCATTCATACTTTAATGCAAGATAGTGTTTCCTATTGTTTTACCTGTCTTGAAATAAGAAGCAAGACCCCCACAATTTTACTTCATCTTACGAAAGTAAAAACCAAAACAAAAGTACTGTTTCCTAGAAAGTTAAGGGACACGTAACTAAAGTTTTCTGGATTCTCCTTTCATACAGAAAACCCTTTTAAAAGTGATGGTGGATCTTTCAAGTGACTACTCTTGAAGAAGCATTTCTCAATAAATAGGTAATGAAAATAAATTAATTTTTATCTCTGATTTAAGAACTTTAAGATATGAGAATATTGGACTTACAACCAGAATTTGATGGATAATAACTTATCTGTAGCTTGAAAATTACACATTTTAATGCCCTTGCCAAACATATAAAGTCTACCTCTAAACAAGTTAGCAATGCATTAACACGTACCAAGGTCAGTACGAAAATAATGTGAAAAACAAAAGAAATTCTCTGGATTATTTCCTCCCCTGACTGTCTACTTCTTGTTACTCAATTCAATCAAAAGAAGGCTGTCATAGTGATTCAATTCATACAAAACAGTCCAGGGAGTTTTTAATAATTAGATGTTCAAGTCTATTTTATTATTCCAAGAATGTTGGATAAATGTAATGTTCATTATTTTCTTGAAAGATAAGAAAGACTCTTAGATTTTTCTTCTCATTACTACAAGTTCATCAATCACCTGCTTACATGAAGGAAACAAACCTGCAACAGCAGTTTTATTCTCCTCACCTCTGGGAAATGTAAAAGAGAATCCCACAGGGAAGCAGAGATGCTTCACAAAACTTTGAATCTCGATGCCATTCGTCATTCACGCATCATCACAAGGTGACTGTGTAATGTTAAGGGCATAACTACTCACAATTTATTTGACAAAACAAGAAAAGTATTTAAAAGTATTTAAAAAAATATTTGAAATGCTAAAAATACATACAGAGACAGACGGAGAAAGACATACTGAAATATTCACACAGACCTGCTTTTTTTTCTCCCCCTCTTGTTCAAAAGCTGGTGTTTCCTAAAAAATTGAGCATGCTGTGTATATGCTGGGTAACAAAAGGTTCCCATGCTATCCTTTTCTAGCCTTTGAGTCCAGAATTAAGGAAAATAAATTATGTGGAAACTCAAGCAAAAAAAAAAAGCAATCTGACTCAAAAATAATTTCATTGTTTATCAAACTTGTCTTATGAAAATAATCTATTTTAGCATTTAAATTTTTTAGTTGCAACTTACTTATATATCAGTGTGATTTGCTATGTCTTCTCAATAAATTAAGAAAACAAAATCTGTGTCTATCTGAATTAATAACAAGATTGTTAAGAAGGATAGATGTGCCATGGCTGATATTTTATTGCATTAATCTATGAAAGAATGAAGTATTCAATCATTAAAATATGAATTTAGCCATCAACTGTTTTTGAGAAATTGTTTAAAAGTTAAAGTTAATTAAAATTATAAATTAAAACAACTTCTTGTCAGCTCTAAAATATTTTTTGAGTTGTCCATTATTATTACTCTTTAAATTAGTTCCATTATGGTTGATACTGTCAGGATGAAATTAATGTTGTCCCTCAACCTTGCAAGATTAGCACAGATCTCCAATTCTGAATCTGTATTTAGACAAAACAAATAAGGGTCTAAACTTCAGCAAGAAAGATCTAGTATTAAAGGGTAGTGAAACACTAGAGCAAGTAGAAAAGAGCACGTAAGAAAAAACTGCCTATGAGGAGGTTTTTAAGAACAAATTAGGCACATCCCTGGCAAGAATGACATTTACAGTCAAACCTACCATGCAAGGAGAATCAATGATTAAAAAACTTTACTTCACACTTATTTTCTCTTGATTCCATGATAAACTGCAAAGTCAAATAACAAACTAATCCAAAAATAAGTCTCCCAAAATTCCACATCAATTTGTTAACTGTTGAAAAAGTGGTTGAAGTCCAAAACCTACTCTTGTTGAACACTGAACTTGGGATCAGCTAAAAGAGCTCTCCATCCAACAGTCCATACTGTCACTACACAACATCAGAATTGTACTTACCGCTATCATAGTTGAGCATGTTTGTTTTGAAATACTAAGGGAAAAGATTAAATCTAGAAAATGAACCATTATTCAATATTCTATCCACTGAAAGACCAGGCCAAGTATTTATACTACTTTAAAAAGAGACAACATAATGCAATCCTAAATTCTGTTCTGCTTAACTGCTATGCAATACATCAACATCTAATATGCACCTGATTTACACACAGATTTTGAACAGCAGCTGAGTAAATCTGCCACAAAAGTTCCATGCTAATACCTTAATAAAGAGGTTGCAGCAGTGTTCAGACATCTGTATTCTAGTGTTTCATTTAAAAGCAACGTAAGTCCCTGTATAAAACTGAATGTTATAGGTCCATTTACCCACAAAGTATTACGAGACTTCATTTAGTTTTATTAGCAAAATACAGAAGGGGAAACTTCCCTCTAATATCTAAGAGGAAAGAACACCAAATAATAAATGGAGATTATATGGCATGGAGGGAGAGAAATGGTGCTTCAGGATCAGAATAAGCAGCTTGAATATGACAAGTTGGGAAAAAAATCCAGTGAACTGCCCAAAGACTAAACAAATTTAAGCATCGCCTAGAAATAGTTTTTGGACTCAGAACATGAATCCCATCCAACAGAGAAAAGAGCAGCCTAGAAGCTGTACATCCATAATCCAAAAGGTATCAAGATCTACTCTCACATTACTCTGATAAAGTTACTTCTTTGTCACTCAAAATATGGTCTTTAAACCACTTCAAGGAAGAACATTCTTGATGCACGACCAGTCACGCTGTATTTTGCTTCAGTCTCTTAAGCTACTTTGATAGCTTTACTTGTATCCACATTCTGAATGGAGCTCAGAACAAAGTACAGACCCAATTTCCAACTGAAAATTCACCCCTGTGGGTCCTGTCTGCAGAGGCAAGCAGCTTTTGCCTTTCCATATATGCAGGTTATATCAGAGATTTTCCTTACATTTAAGGCAGTCTCCAGGCTGAAATAGATACAGTACTTTAATAACCGCTGCTTATCAGGTGTTTTACTTCAGCTGCTTTACCTGTGTATTTTCTTTGCTGTAGAATGCCCCTAGCAGCAAATGACAGTGATACACCATTTTGGACAAACATACATCCACAGAAACACAGTAACTGAAAAAAACTGAACGAATTTGTCTTGTCTAAGCTTAGAACTTTTTTTTTTTTTAAAGACAGACGGAATCAATTTATTCTGGCAATGGCATTCAGAAAACCATGTATTTAACTGAGCCCAACTTAGAGCTCACTTTACAGATTCTGTGCTTCTTCTCTTGTATTCTTTGACAACCTTAAATATTGGTTCTGAAGTTACCTGGTCACAGTTTCTCATCAGAAAGCCTCTCAAAACTAAAGAATTGGTGTTTCCCTCCACCAACACCAATGATGAATGTCTGTTCTAACTGAGAGAGGTAAATTTGAAATGTTGTTGAGTCTTTATCCAATTTCTCAGAATATCAAGAGTAAGACTTTGTAAAACAGCTTTATCCATCATTTATCTGTAAGCAGGCATAATATGAATATACATGTGCCACTTGAGTGGGAGGAGCTAAAGACTTTGTCCTCAGTTAGAATTTATGGCACTTCAGCAAGATCCGTGGCACTGTATGGCTATAACCAAATGTTGAATCTAGTCGTGCAACACTTAACAAGGGAGGTGAACTCATAGGGATGTACATCCTCATTTTGCTTATGTTGCAAAACAGTGACACCCGCTGGCAGCAACAGTTTAAATACTTAATTGTTGCAGTCTGAGTCTACTTGATAAGAGTTGCTAAGAAGTTTATCTTGAGAAAAATTTATCACAGTAACAACCATAGAAACTTACCTGTTGAGTCAGCACTACTGCCTGAGTTTTCAGAAACTGCACTACTAATAGCATCTGGAGTAGCTGCAACATAACCCTCTGGAGGAAGATCCACTTTGTAAATTCTTCTTGGAGACATAATTGCATCATCACTACCTACAAAACAGAAAAAAACCCAAATATCTGCCTCAATATTGGTCCCACTAGAGATTTTCTCAAATGTTTTTCCAACCATGGCAATAAGTGTTCTTGAAAATCCTTACAGAGGGTCAGGTGTGGAACACTGAAATTATCCTACAACGAACAAAACTGCACCAAATTTGGTAGCAGCTACAAATAAGTAATTACTCCATGGGTTAGTTCTTTCCACCAGAAACATTTTTTTTCCTTTGTATGAGGCAAATCTTCTGCTCTAACTTTAGAAGACACTTACAGTGATATTTTAAGAGAGATTCTAAACATTTTTCCCCATTCAGCATGAGCAGACATTATTTCTTTAAGAACTGTTTCACAAAAGATGGATGGATGGAGAGATACAAGCTGATTATGCAGTGACAGAAGCGACAGAAAAAGAATCACAGAACTGTGGTTTGCCCATTTGTAGACCTTTTAAACACAGCCTATCCTGTTCTAGAGGATGCAAAGATAAAGGGAGTTTGAAAGCCACACTTGACTAAGTCTCAGCAGGGCCTGCTCATCCCTGCTGTGCTTCTTTCTGAGAGGGGGAGGAAGGGGAAGAGCCAAGGGCCAGCTTTCCAACTATTTTATTGTATAGGAAACTACTTGTGGTGATGGCAGCAGTCTCATTTTGTAGGATTCCTTTCCTGTTTAAAAGGTATTTAAAAATATATCTAAGAGCATCAGTAGAAACCTCTCCTGTGTTCACCAGACAAGCAGCTCTGTAGGAGTGGCAGAGACACATCTCTGCTCCAGTTAAACGAAAACAGTCCAAATATCAGACTGTATTTCTTTTGCTCAGTAGTGACAACAGCCAACCACAGGGAGAAAACAGCCTTTCCAGAAGGCCGGAATGTCAGGGTATTTCCAGATGTTGCAATGTAGTTTTAGATGGCTCAGTGTTGTTATGTTTTTCTTTTTGGTTTATTGGGGCTTTTTGGTTGTTGTTGTTTTGTTGGATTTTTTAACACTCAGCTCCCTAAGTCAGCACAGACAGAGCACCAGCCTTCCCTTCTTGGGGGCAATTTGTCCCTTTAAAACGCAGAATCAGAGAATATACTGAATTGGAAGGGACCCACAAGGATCATTGAACTTAACTCTTAATCCTGCACAGGATCATTCCCAAGAGTCACACCACGTGCCTGAAAGTATCATTCAAACGCTTCTTGAATTCTGGCAGGTTTGGTGCTGCAACCCCTCTCCTGGGAAGCCTGTTCCAGACAGAACTGTTAAAATAATGTAAAATAAAAATATCTTTGTCAAGTGGACACAATTAACCTCCTTACACCACAAATTTGCTAGAAGATCCCAGGTGATCCAAGTCTATCACTGAGGTGCAGCTATGGTTGGACTAATTCTCAAACATTTAAAACATAGTTGTGTCTGACAGATTCCTAACAAGAATTACTTCTAGGTTTCAAATATGCAATTTAACTACACATACTGTATGCAAGTATGTAATTTAATTATACACTGACATTTCTCAGATACCCTACTTCAAAGAGTTCAGAATGACTGATCATCTTAGATATCTATGACAAACTACATTTCTGAACATTCAAGGTACTTCTGAAAAGCTACACACAGTTGTTTTCATCATCAGGAGGTAATAAATTTGTTTTGAAAACACATTAGAAAGTTTTTTTTTTTCTTGACCAAGCCAGAAAATTTCCAACTCATATTAATGATACTTACTTTAAAGGATAATAAAGGGAAAGAAAGAAATAATACAGAAAGATGAAGAAAATTTTGCAATTTGAAGAAAAATCCACTGAAAATTAATGTGGAATAATTCTGCAATCCTTTCCATAGGGATGATGCCAAATGGTTGAACTGGTAGCACTTGCATTGATTTCCCCCCCCCTCCAGGGTGATTAATGATGAAGTGCTAATTAGAGACAGTTTTAAATTAAAAGGATGTATAAATGTTTGCGTTATTTCCTTCTGAATGATTTCAAGTTTCCTCATGTTCTTTTCTACAACATTCCCCACACAAAGAGATCCTTTGCATGTAACTCAACCTTGTGCACAGAGTAGGGATGTGAATCTACATCATGCCCTTCCCAACATTACAACTGCAAGCATGTTGGTAGCTTGGCCAGCTATGCTATCTCTTGCTACCCTACTACAAACAAGTATCAGACTGCCTGAACATAAAGCATGCTTAGGCACACCTCAGACACAGACATGGCCAGAACACATGTTCATATAATCTTGGTCCTTTTGTGGTAAATTTACTCAGTTGCTGGTTAAAATCTTAAAATCCACTAAAAAAAAAAATCTTGGTCCTTTGCTTGCTGTAAGACTGGAAAGAGACTGAATCAATTCTAGTTTCTGTGGTGGGTTGATCCTGGCTAGCAGCCAAACACCCACCACATGCTCACTCACTCCCCCCTCAGCAGGATGAAATGGGAAGAAGAGGACTAAGAGCTCATGAGTCAACAGCAGAGAGATCACTTACCAGCTATAACAACCTTTCCTTGCTGGTTTATATTCACTCCCAACTTCACCTATTCCCTATTGCTGCAGTCCCTTCAGTGAGACAAAAAGCAGTGCAAGGTGGTGGGGGGGGGCTGTCTACAGTCAGGGTGCAACAGTTTCTCTCTGCTGCTCCTTCCTTTTCCCCCACAGGTGTTCTCTGTGGGCTGCAGTCCTTCAGGAACATTTCAACAACATAGCACGTCCTCCTCTGACCCTAGGGTTCCCACTGTTGTCACTCCTTTTAGTTCCCTCCTCTCTCAGGAGCTTTCTTAGTCCTCTCCTTTCTCAAAGAAGTTTCCCCAAGGCACCCCTCCTCAGCTGTGGGCTCAGCCGTGCCCTGCAGTGGGTGGGTTGGAGCCGGCTGGAACCAGCTGCATGGGGCAGCCCCGGCCTCCCCTCACAGAGCCACCCTGCCTGGACATCAGCACCCTGTACAGCTTCACAATCAGACAGAAATTTTGTCCTGCCCATGAAGTGCTTCCCTGCAACTCAGAAAGCTTTGGTAACCCACTGCTAAGTTCCCATAGGGCAGAACTCATACTGCAATTAGAGGACCCAAGTCCATCTAGAACATCCCGCAGCCCCCACAGACAGCTGACAAGTTAGCCCAATCTTACCAAGACTATCTTTTCCACAAAATTATCCTTTGGAAACACCTGGCTATCACTTCTCCAAATAGAATGAAAGAGTTTATCCTCAAAAATATGTCTTTACAAAACAGCACAGGAAGTGAGGGATTGATGTTGGTTCAAATACAAGGTCTGATTAGTTCAATGCCATACCTTCTACAGAAGTCATTACTGTCAGTAGGTATTTTCTATGTGGTGTTACAGCAGATATAATCTGGACAAAAATAAGGTTTGAAAGAGGTCTGTTATCTCCTTTAAAAAGTTTGCATAAAGTATGATTTTACTTATTAGGAAAGCTCTAGTATGACCATGTTAAAGTTATTCCTCATTTGTATGTATACAAATGAGACCACAACCTGAAAATTCTGACAATCCCCAATGCACATAAACACTCCCTTGTTATCTGTACACAATCACTTTCCCCTTCACTGACTAGCAGGATAAGTATCTATAAAGACAATGCACATACAAATCCTGGGCAAGAGTTGTCTCCTTCGAAAAGTCTTCATAAACTGAAGTGCACCAAAGGTGATATCAGTGACTAAAAGTAGAATATACACACCTCGAGGGTCCTCCTGAGCTGTGGTACTGGAAAATAGGTACTTTTACAGTTGATCAACATGAAGACATCAAATTGTCCTTCAATAGCGTGAACAAATCTGGTGATCCGAAATACTCACCCATTTCCCAATGTATACTCATTTTTCTTCAGATGACATCCAAGTTCCTGACCACTAAGCTACAGTTACTTTAGTCTGCCATGATAAGGTACATCAGAGTAACTTCAGGGACATGAGGTGTTATATTAAGTGCAAACAACCTCTGTTCACAAGTTTACTTTCACAGGTTTTTCAGTCTCAAGTCAATGCACACTACAGTGCTTTCCACAACAACAGAAGCTTTTAGCTCAAGTAGACCTTTGTGCAATCGGAAAGTAAAATCCTTTTTCTTGCAGTGCCGCGTAATTCCTGTTATTTGACCTCAGTTTTCAGCAGAAACCTCTCCCTCAATACTAGAGAAGCACATTTGGTAGAGAACAAAAACAAAAAAGTGATAATGATAATAAACAACCTAGCAAAGAACAGGTAGTCATTTACTGCTGGTCATTTGTTTCACTCAAATGATAACCATCACACAGAAATGGAAATGTTGTGCTATTTTGCTGGGTGACAGGAGTAGCTGATGAAGTATTTCTGTAGAAATTCACTACTGCAGGTAGGAACTTGTTTCTCACAAAATTATGGAACTCCCTTTATGGAGAGCTACTACAGTTTACCATTACAGTCTGATTCCTTTAGCTTGTTCTAAGACCTGATTATCTGTACTTTATCAGAATAAACTAGGGGAGTCATTCTAGCCAGTTTCTGGCTGAAGATGATACACTCCCTTCCAAACATTCTTCATCTTTCTTTTTTTTTTTTTTTTAATTTAGGAAAAAAAAGCTTTCTGAATGTCTTTTGAATATCTAATTATCTCAAGTTACATTGTTTGCTACAGTCACATATTTTACTGACGAACTTCCCTGTTTGCCAAGTAAACCGTCAAAGTGTATAGTTCTATTCCAAATTGCTCGATAACATACATTCAAACAATAAACTGATGAACGAATAAAGCCTTAAAATTAAATAGATACATGTTGTCCTCTGGCTCAAAAAATCCTCAAGCAGCATATTGTTGGAGAACATTGCGGGGATGCAGTACAATACACTTATTCTATTCCAATAACCTTTTCTACAATATTAATGGTCACAACATATTAGTGTAAACAGCAGTATTGAATTTTTTAATTTACCTTAATTTCTGCTACTTTATTGTTATGTTTACACAAAAAAAGTCTACTATCCTGTGTTTGTCAAGCACTAGCATGCT